AGCAGAGCCCCAATGCCCCAAATTCAATGGGTAACCTTTACCCACCTGTGCTATGTGGGGGTGGGGGGGAGTGGCGGGGGGGAGTTGCTGGTCTCTCTGTGTCCTTCCTGTTCTGATGGACTCTCAAAGTCTTTCCCGTCTTTAGGAGAAAACAAGGCTCCTGACATAGGTTTCCCAAATTATTCTCCTAGGGGCCCTAAGAACAAGCAGCCCTATTAGGCATTCTGGCTCCCCTCCTGCCCTCACCGGGGCTCTAGGGAGTTATTTGCTGCTCCAGCCTGGTGGGCCCTGGGTCCCTGCTGGGCCACCCACATGGCAGCCATGCATCATGCCACACTGACCTCCAGCTCACCTCTGGGGGTGCCCAGCCCCCTCCTGGTCAGCAGGGCTCCCTGGCAGAACATACCAAGCCCAGAGCAGGCCTCTGATCCCAGTGTTCCCTCCGGCTCCCGAGGCCCCCTCCCCAGACCCAGTGCCCACTCCTGCAGCCCCTGGCTTACTGCCACTCAGGAGTAGGGGGTGGGGGTGGGGTGACAGCTGTGTAAGCGATGGCGGCTGCCCCTTCCTGCCCCTCCCCCCCAGCTGTCTCTCTCTCATGACAGCTGCCCAATCAAAGGGCCGGGGGCTTAGCCAGCTCCCCACCCCATGCAGGGATCAAGTGTCCACCCGGCTTTGTTCTGGAGCAAGAACAATCCAGGGGAGGGGAGGGCTCCTGGGGCCAGGCGACTCCAGTAGACTGGCCCGCCCCTTGGGGGATTCCCTTGGCTCTGCTGACCAGAGCGTCTGGACCAACTAGGGCTTGTAGACCCACCTGGGCTGGGGAGAGAAAGGGAGGTCCAGTCTCCAAATTCATCCCCCACCTCACATCCCCTAACATCCCCCTCAGCACCTCCAGCCCCCAACTAAGCAGCCTCCTTCTACTCCTACTCCAAAAGCAGCCATGCTGGCCACACCCAGTGATGCTGGGGAATGGCTTAGGGCATCAAGTAAAGCAGGGCGTGGCAGGGGGGTGGACACTGGGCCTGGGGGCGATCAGCGTTAAGGGATCCTGACTCCCCTGCCCCTCCCCTTCTCTGAGCATGCTCATCCTTCCTGATTAGCCAGGCCTCCACAAGAACTGCCCCAGCATCCTTAGACCCAGGCGCCCAGTCTCTCAGCCTTACAGCCTCCCAGGATGGCCATCCATACCCACTTCTTAGGAGAGTTGGGGGAGAAGGGGCCTGCAGGGGAGCAGCCTGAGGTCTGCGAGCTTCAGCCTCTGCTTTCTTGACCCAGGGCTGCCCTGTAGACTCAGTGCTAGGCAGGGAACAGAAGCTCTGACAAGCTGGCTGGTGCCAGAAATGCTACAGCCTCCTTAGAGTACCGTTAGGCAACCCCCCAAGAGTCCTCACAGCCAAGGGAAACTGAGGCAGGCCCAGGCCCAGACTGGGCTCCAAGAGAAAGGGCACAGCTTCATAGTACAGCCCCACCCACTGGTACCTATCCCCTCACTGTCTGACCCAAATTGAGAAAGGTCTCTAGCTTCTATTCTCCATGCTGGAGACTGGGTCACTCTCCCATTCAACAGCCATCCTTGGCTCCCCAATGCCCAAGGAATAAAGCCTGATCTCCATAGACAGGCACTCAAGGCCCTTTATGATCTGGCTCTTGCCAACTTCTCTTGTCTCATCTCCACCCCATCCCCCACACACACCAGGCTGCAAAACATGCCTAGCACCTCCAGGCCTCTGGGCCTTTGCCCAGGCTGATCCTAGTTTGAAATGTCCATCCTCTCCACTCTCTGTCAAAGTCTTTCTCAAATGCCACCTCCTCTGTGAAGCCCTCGCCAACCTTCCAAGTCAGATATAATCACTCAGGCCTCTGCGCCTCCCAAAGATATGCCTGCGACTCAAAGGAGCCCCAATGGGACATTTCTGAGCCTGTCTTTCCACCACATAGATTGCTCTAGGAGGGCAGGAGCTTCTCCAGGGAGGCAGGAGCCAGGAACCAGCTGAGTGTGCAGGGAGAAGACAGGGCTCACAGGGCTGGAGGCATTAGGGACCAGAGATGAGGCTAAGGGTCCCAGAGGAGCAGTGAGGGTGGAGTGAGAAGACCCAGGGCATGGGCACCAGCCACATGGGAGAGCCAGGCTCTGCCTGGACAGGATCCCTAGCTCCCATTCCTCAGCACCCCCAGCCCCTGCTCCTGCTGTTTCTCTGGGTCTAGGGCTCCCCGGGCATGTCACTAGGGTGGGGGATTTGCACTGTGCTTTGAGACTTCTGGGGGCCCAGAGTGGGTTTCCCCATGGGGAAGGGGGGTTGGAAGAAGAGCTGGGGTGTGGCATAGGTTTCACAAAGTCAGGCTCAGCCTTTCACAGCTGAAAGGACCTCACCAGAGAGGAACCTGAGGCCCAGAGAGGAAGGGGCTTGTTTGTAAGGCTACATGAGCGGCAACTGGGAGAGCTGGGAGAACCCAGGGGTCCACCTGTGTGGCTCAGAGCTCTTTCCTCAAGAGGTCAGCGCCATTGGGCAACGGTGATGGAGGCTGGAGGGGGGCCAGTGATGGGAGTAGGGAGGGTGGACAGAGCCTGTCTGGGGACACAGGGCGGGGCAAAGCCAGCCTTCCTATGGCCCGGGCTTGCCAGGGTGTGTGGGCCGCTGCTCCCAGCCCCCACCCTGAGCATGCAAGAAGAACAATCCCCTTGTGTTTGGGCAGCCTGAGCCTGCATGCTGATGAAGGCCAGGGGGGGCTGGCTGGGGTGCCTTGGAGGTCGAGGGGCTTCCAGGGCCAGGAGGGGCTAGGGGGACCTTCAGATGGGAAAAGGATAGGGCGCCAGGTGCTGGCCCTGAAGCAATGAGGGTAACCCCAGGAAACAGTGAGGGCTGGAGCTGAGGTTTAAGCTCCTGGGGAGTCCTTGGGGTCTAGGAGTTCTTTGCGGGGGAAGGAAGGCCCCTAGGGACGCATGCCCTGTTGGTCCAGCATGAAAGTGATCATCCTGGGCATGGTGGGGACCAAGGGTCCACATTCTGAGAGGAGGGAATACAACTGGCCCTAGGTGCATCCCCTTGAAGACCACTACCCAGGGTGGTGCAGCCGGGCAGGGCACTGGGTGCCACAGGTCTCAAGATGGCGGGCCTGGGATAGGGGAGTGAGGAGGCGGGCACCTCCCTCTCCTGGCCAGGCAGGCATGAGGGCCAGGCTGAAGTGAGTAGCCAGAGCCCCATCCACCCCCCAGGACTTCAGCTAAGAGGCTAGGTAAGAGCTGAGGGAGTGAAGAGCCGCAGGGGACGAGGGACCACTCTGAGCCTCCAACTGTCACTTCACACACTCCTGGCCTGGAGGTCTGTGTCCGGCCCCGCAAGGACTGCAGAGAATGGGAAGGGGTGTGTGCTGAGCCAGGAACTGCAGGGGAACGGCAGATGGGGACAGAGAGGGAGCAGAACCAGAACCCGAGACAGGAGGTCGAGAGAAGAGCAGGTCCAGAGGACAGAAACAGCAGGTGGGATGAGGGCCTCAAATCTGGGGTCTCAGGTCCAGAAAGCCCCTCCCTGGTGCCGGGGGCTCTTCGCGCAGACCAGCGCCCCCCACCTGTGCAGGCCTGGGCCCATGTGGGACAAGGAATGTGCTCCTCAGTCTCCCAGTCCCCCAAACCCGGGACCCGGCCTGTGGACTCGGGCGCGAGCTCCCCGCCCCTGGCCGAACCCCCAAACTTCGCGGCCCGCGGTGCCCCGCCCGCCCCGCGCCCTACCTCGCTGGGGCTGTCCTGCGGCGGCGGCGGCGGCGCGGCGGCTGGGCCGCTCAGTCCCACATTGTCCCCGGGAGAGGCGGCCGCTCACAACTGCGAGTGACATCAGCTGCGAACAATGAGGGGTTTGACAGGCG